CTTTTTTTTTGTTCTTATCTATTTCAATTAATGACCCAATTGATCTGAAATCATATGTGTTCATTTTTACAATAACATTTAAGGAATTGCATTTTTGGAATAGCATAAGGAATTGGACTGAATTTCATTCACTCAATGAAATGAAATTTCCAATATAATCAATGAAGAATCAATATGAAATTATTGTACAATTTATAAATGTAGATTGAATTAGTGAAATGCAAATGCTTGATCAAGAAAATTAATGTTCTTGTCATGCACAATTTGTATTAATTAAAAAATGAGATATTAATTAAAATCAAACCTCATTTAAAAGGTAACTTGAACAATTGAATACCTGTTCCAATAATGTTACAAATATTAGGCCTAAAAAGCAAGGATTTTTTTCATAATTTCTTGAATGAATGCATTTTTATTTTTTGGCAATGTTGGGATATTAGCCACATCCTGACATCCTTGTACCGTTTATTCGTCGTTTTTAAATCTGTAGTCAGAAGATCATTCATAACTTTCAGTAAAATGAATAGTTAAATAATTACCTGATGAAAATACTATCAACAATCAAACTGTCAACATCATCATTGGACATGGTCAAATGCACCGTGACTTTTCTTCCCTGTTCGGACTGCATAAAGCATAATACTTTACAGGATACTCTCAGGTCTTTTCTTTTTTCCTTCCCATTCTCACTTAAAATTTTAGTGTAGTGGTGAAGCGAGAAACACACAACAGCACAATGCGTCGATAACTTTCTTCTGGTCGGAATGGCCTACAACTTGCCACATTCCGTATCGAAAATAAACAAGTCCTCCTTTATTGGTTCATCCACATGCATCACGCTAATCTCAAAGGCTTTTAAGATTCCTATGCTTTAATTTGTTATAAGACTTTCTCCTGAAAACGTCCTTTGTTTTTAGTCCTAACAATAAGTGACAACAAACATCAAGTATGACAGAGGAAATTCGTTACCGAGATGCTTAGCATCGCTGGTTTAAAGTCGCCTGTTTCAAACGCTTTGGTGATTCGCAAGAGTTATCTCCCTGTTAACGCAAACCTTACCTTAAGTCATACGTTTTAAGAACTAAGACTTAGCGGAAAACATACAAATTCCTGTATTTGTTAAAGGGACTACCATTTTATTCCAAAAGAGGGGGAGGGGTTATATCTAAAAAAATGTTGAAAATAAATGTCCCAAACAGAATAAAAAATTTTTGATCTGCCCCAGACCAGTGTTCTCCCTCCTATAATTTTTTTTAGCTTGTCAGACAATTTTCAGTAAGGATGAAAATAAATAATCTGTCCTTCATCTTATTGGAAATAAATATTAGTAGACCTGTCCTTCATTGACATGAACATGAAAAGAAATGAAAAAAATAATGACTTGGGAAAACTTGCCAACCCCCATCCCCTCTTCCTTTCAGAATTAAATAGTGCTCCTCTTTCTTGTTTTGAATTAATAAGGGGAGCCTTTAATCTCCTTTTTAGCTACTTTTATCAAGAAAAACAAATTAACACAATGAACATGCTAGAAAAAAATCTTGCTGGACATTGACAGCCTGGCACCACACAAATATATGCAAGTGAAGATTATCAAATCTTAATAGTCTTTTCAACACCTGTTCAGTTAAGTACATGTATATGAAAAACTTAAAAGTGAAATCATTTTCATGAAGAAATTTTATTTCATAAACAGCTTTTCAAATTAAGATAGACTGTACAAGGAATGCTGGGCAGCTGCAAATTTTTTCCATCACTTCATGTTCTTGTGGATGAAATCAATTCTGAAAATACATGTATGAGAAATTCAGGACATATATGTAGTAATTATAAACCATTATTGAGAGTAAACTGGTGGTTAAAATTGAATTGAATTCAGATCAATGCATCGAAACATGCATTGTATGCATAATTAAATGTTTGCAATTCTACTGTTATATTTTATTGTTTGCCAGGAATATTGCATGGTAAATTGGTTTATAGCTAATATGGAGAATACCATTTTCCTTACATGATGGATTAACTTGCTGCCTGATCATGAATGATTCCATTGGTCGTATTCTTTAGAAATAGCTGCAACACATTATATGTGCTATTGCTAGGAGATTACTAAATAAAATACAATTGTCATTGTAAAATAAAATGAATTTACAGTTGACAAAACAATTCATGATATATTGTATAATGTAGTGAATTTATCAAATTCATATAAAAGTTAAATGGAAACAGTTGTATTACAAAACTTTTCTGGGAAATTAAAACCTCTGACATTAACGAGAACAAATGATTAGAATATGAAAAAAACATTCTTTTATCTTTACCAAAATGAAAAATAAATATGGGCCTAATCATGCACGCATGCATGGTTTAAAAAAATCTGAAATGCTTTATAAGGGTACATACCCTGTGGAGAAATGGATGCATTTTGTATTTATTTATACTTCAAGCCTGGATCTCTTGACTGCTACAATAATAAAAATATTATATGAGTAAAAAAATAATTATGTATAAATTACAGAAATTAATTGACTTAAAAATTGACATGAAATCAAACTAAAAAAAAATAAATATTTTATTCCCCATTAATTAAGAAATTCTAAAAATTTAAAACCATAGATCTAAAGTGGAGGTTCTTTGTTTTCATCATAATGATACAAATGATATTTTCTTTACATTATGTAACATGTATGCCAAAAAGACAACAACATTACATGTTCAGTAAATCATTGTCAACACATTGATTGCAGCAATGATATTTCACATGTTGTCTCAAAGAAAATAAGCCAGTACAATTAGATTTTTAAATTTCTAGTAAAACAAAGTGATCAACTTTATGTGGGCTGTTTGAAGAGGGGGGGGGGGCACACACTACACTGCATTAGTTTTTCATTGACTGTGATAATACATCTAAATAAACACATACACACTCGCAATCGTTTTTTCTTCGATTTTAACAAAAGCATTTCTACATAATGCACATACATGACTGTGCATACATACCTGGGCTGAATGCACTGCAGTGATGGATCTAGGGAGCTGGCGGATATCGTCTCACTCTTCCATTATTTTCTGTAATAATGTCCTCATATTCTCGTAATAGGGATAAGCAATGCCTTGTCTCTTATCTTATCCCTATTTTCTTTAAAGAATGTCTGATTATTGCAATTAAATCCACTGCATATCTCAGCTGATGTCGTCACGTTTTTAGATGTAAACAACATTCCGTGTCATCGAGTGCAAGCGCTTGGCTGAAGCTGAATGCAGCCAAACGGCACATTAGAAAGAGAATTATTTTAAAAACATGCCATTCTATAGAGGAGAAAATCACTAATATTTATTAATTTAAACATGGAAATATTGCCGTTTGTTAAAAGTTCTTGCAAACATCGGTAAATAGTTATTTTGAGCTCTATTTCCTTATAAGGATCAATCAGGGCGGAGCAACTGTCATAACGTCAGACCTCATTATAGCCTCATTACCATATTTTTTCCATGGGTTGCCTTTACCGTACTGCGGAAGAAAGAAATCCGGACCGCTTTGAAATGCGTCCGGTCTGTCGGGTATACTAGGGTGAAGTGCGATTTACATAACGCAGCACAGTTAAGGTTACAAATGGAAATATCGACGATTTTTTGAAATAAAAAATACATACTTTGCTAGGATGGGCGAATCTTTCTAGGAATTCAATGATATAAAAAATGTAATGTGGTTTGAATCTACATGTTGGGAACATTTAGATTTTTTTATTTAGACTTGTCATGTAATGTCGACGTCACATGACTTTGGCAATTATACTTGCAGTTTGGAGGCCATCTATAAATTTTTATATTGCAAGGGCATAACCAAGCTAAAAATTTTAGTTTATTTTATAATCCTTTTCAACACTATATGTAGTTTGTAAAAAGTTCTGCGAATCTGTATTCCCCTTTTTAATTGGTAAAATTTAATTTAGTGGATGGCATGTTGAATATTTTGCTGTTCAACTACAATACATGTAAATATAGCTATAATTAATTTATTTGAAAGATTTCAAGAGGTTCACAGCACTTTTCAAATATCTTAATGCTTCTTGCGTTAATTTGTAAAATTTTGACAAGATACATTGAGGCTATGCCCTTGCAATAAATCGATTTATAAGGGCCCTTCCATTACTTTTTCAATGAATCTGCATACAAACACGACAGTAAACATTTATTGCATGATAGTGAGGGAAATATGAAGATTTCTTCACCCATGAAAAATCATATTCCCCGAGGGCAACGCCCGAGGGGAATATGATTTTTCATGGGTGAAGAAATCTTCATATTTCCCGAACATTCATGCAATAAATTGTTTATTATACCGAATCAAGCATTGCATCAAATTAATATGAATAAAAATGATGATCAAATATGACATATTTAATAAATTTATTTAACACACTCAATTTTAACAACTGTTCAAGTAAGAACTGAGAAACAGCATAAAACATGTACCATTTCCTACTCTCTCTGAAAAAAATCCATTCTGCTTTGTATCACAGACAAGAAAAACTTAACAATTTTAATAACAGACAAAAATTTGGCTAACTGAAAAATATCACAATTTCACAACAACAAAAAAAATTAACTGCTTTGTATCACAGATAATAAAAAATTAACAAATGTAATAACAGACAAAATTTAGCAAATTAATTCCAGAAATATCATAATTTAAATATAATATCTAACTTCTTTGTTTAATATAACGTAAAAAATATGTAATTATAACATTTTAAACACAAAACAAGTATTATAAATGTTTTTAGACTGGAAAAAAACTATATTCAGTCTTGTAACAATAGATAAAGCAATGAAATTCAACATGTTAAATCAGTCTCATCAAAAAGTTCATTACTTGTGATAATTTATGTTTATTTGGACTCGGCAATTTCCCGAGAAATTTGGTCTAAACCATCCAGGTCCACTACTAGACACATCCAGCTGATTTTGGGACACAGGCTTCCTTTGATCAATTTCTCGACATTCGACTGAAGATTATCGAGAGGATCAAGTTCAAAGTCCTCTGCAAAAACACTGGCTAGATCACTAAGATTTTCCGTGACTGTTTCTGGGATTACGTTTTCCTGTGTTGTATGTTGGTGTCCGAGGGCTGCACTAAGGGTTTCTGATATTTCCCTCTTCTTTCCGTCACTTATAAAGTGGGAGTATGATTTGAGTGAGGTCTCAGACTTATGGCCGGAAACTTTCATTATATGTCGCCCACTGATACCAGCCACATCTAATACTGTGATACTTGTCGCACGGACAGAATGGTTCCTATAAATTTTGGAAAGTTTTCCCACATTTGAGATATCAGACATAAAACTGGCCAAGGAATTTTTCCCTACAGATGCGTTTACATACCATACATCCGCATCAGGGTCGAATGAATCTCGGGGTCTCTGCCATAGATCACTCTTATTGGGATTTAACTTGGATAAATACTTTTGAAATGAAAACACAGGGCAGTTCTTGTTTCCTGGAAATATTGAGAATAAAAATGCAATAATACATGTGTATTCTGTAAAAAACCAGAGACCTCTAATTATACATAATTGTTTAAACAGCTAATTATTTTACCTGGTAACTCGTATATTCGCCCATCTGTTACACTCCCTGCTGCATCTGCTCTGTGATTCTTATCCAACTCGTCAATGGACTGATACACATACTGTCTACCAACGTCATCTCTGGCTATCTTGAATGTGTCTTTAGTCATGGACCTCAAATTTTCTCTGCCTCTTCTGCATAGGTACAGAGTTATTTTAAACCAAAATTTTCTCTGTAATCCATCTGAAGTATTGGTATCAAATACTGGGGTGTCGACGCTGTACATTTTCTGGAGATCTTTCTCAGATATTGCCGGGAGGGTGGTGATCAATTCCCCAAAGCCCTTTTCTTTTCAAATCTGTAGAAACTGCTTTAAATATTCCGTTACTTTCATTGAATTCTGAGTCTTTCACAATGTCGATGTTTCTTTTCTCTTTCAAAAAACGTTTTAACCCATACCGATTGTTCTGTAATGCACTTTTCTTGAAAAGCTCTCTTGACGTTTTTCTTGCACCGACATAAAAGGATTTCAACGCTTTGTTTCAGTCTTCTACGAGAAAATCCTCAAAATCCGTTGTCAAATCAGGGCATTCTGCCAAAACGTCACGGAGACATTTTACTGCCACTTTTTTAGCTTTTTTGTGTTGATAGCGTCCTTTTCGTTCATTAATAATGCGTAATCCTCACTGACAGGCTGGTGAAACCTTGCCATGTTTGTTATCATCGGATTTATTCGGAACTTTTCGGTTTTGTTCATTTAACCGGAAACGAAAGTGAAACAAGAGATATCCGAAGAGGTGGAACACGACGTTTTGCTGCAGGGAAAACACGACGGTCATGTGACCTTCTCAGCCAATCAGATTTTATTTTAGTAGTGTTTATTTAAATGAGGTATAATAATATCGCTTGTCTGATAAATGCACGTACAGTTTATGAATAAAATACTAAAATAAACATTGCATCCAAGTAAATGGCTTTTTATTTTACCCAAAATAATATTTTATTTGAGAACAAAAGACATTTCTCATTGTACAAAATGTGACTTGATCAGCCTCTGACTGTGTAAAAACTGTGTAAAAACTGCGTCATTTTTTGAGAAATGACGTCACAATGATAAGTGCATTGCGATCGATTCATTGTTTATATACTGTTGTGTGGGATTTATCAAACGACAAAACTGCATGTAATAGTAAGTTTGTATGTAATATACAGCTATCCAACTGTTTGAAATAGCAAATAATTTCATTTTGTAGTATTTTGAAGACCTTTTATTATGTGTTACGTCAATGTAATCATTTCCAAATAAGGCCCCGCCTCCTTACTGTAATTTTAACAGTTGAACGAATTTAATTATGCTTATTTATTACGACAATCAGTAAATCGTACATTTTTTCATTCTCTCAAAATGGCGTAACTTTACTTAGTAAGGAATAATGAAAGAAAAATCAAAAAGTAGGGATATTTAAACATATGAATTGTGATCAATTATAAATTTTGAAATATTTAAGAACTTATTATCGGGAAAAAATAATTATAGTCTGTCCCACCAAGTTACTGTAAGCACTTTTCGCATAAAATCTCAAAATATATAAATACCTTGGCTTTCAACCCAGTTCCGATCGATAGATTTTTTTTCCAACCTTCCGCCGTTTATCCGAACCCTCGAGGTCAACCAGTGTATACACACGGCGGCAAATTCAAAGTCTACGGAGATTTAACATTGTCAAAATGGCCACCCACCACTTCGGAAGGGGATCATCCATTGTTCGTAATTTTCCGTACGTCGTCGTCAGTAAGGAAATGACGTCGAACACGTTCGGGAGTGCTCTATGGTTATCGACGTCCGAAAAACCTATAACGCCCGAGACTTCCAAGTATATATTTATACTACAAGAAATATTACTTCTTCAACATGTTCAACAAACTTTCATACCCAGACTGAGACCCAAGGGACCAAAGATTCATAAAAGGGTTAGTCACTGCATAAAGGCAAATAGGTATGACTCAATTCATACATAACATTTCGATAGAATAATCGAGGCTAGGCTACTGCAAATTTAGCTCAAGTAAAATTAGTTTTATAATTTATAGCCAACACGTAACATTAGAGATCAATCAAAGTAATATCACTAGGATTAAGATTTTTAAAAATTATAATTGGTGCCTTACCTTAACGTTTCACCTTAGTTTTCCTTATAAATCCAACTCCTTTACGTTTGTTAAAAAACTATAACACACGGTCAAAATAAGCCATATTATCGTTTCTATGTCACAGTATGTGAACAAGTGATGTCCTCACATGCACATGCCACAGTATTTCTTGACTTTGATATACTTCCAACTCTTTGAACACATAAATCCTTCGTTGATATTTTATTTTTAATCTCGGTGCAAAACAACGTTTGTTGTCTGCATCAATTAAACTACGTCACCAATGAATTTTGACCTTGCCCTTCCAAACCTTCCTGTAATGTATCGGTGTTAGGTAAATTCAGACCCAGGATATACATTTTTGTTTACCTTAAATATAACAGAATTATACCAAAATTTAAAATATTCCTATACACATAAAATTAAAATACATAACGCAAGTGTGAAGGATTATGATTTTTTTTAGAATATATTATATTTTTTTTCCTTTCTCTATTTCAATAAAACAATTTAACAGAAAGCCTTTTAATTTTTATGAGTTTTCAGAACAAAAATTTTCATTGCAGGAATCTGAATAGCTGCCTGGTGCAACTACAAGATAGAAAAGCACAAACATGTACATTATACATATTAAGCCATAAGTACCTGCAGATACATATATATTGAAGGTATGAAATAATGCAGAGTTTGATTTTTGAGTCCCAGCAATTTTTTTTTCCTTTTGTATTTGTAAACTTTCAGAGTAAGTTTATTCATTGACAGTTCCCTAGTACGCAAACATGCATATATGCCTATATCATATACCTAGTAGTGTATCAGCTCTGATACAGATGTTTTGGACTAGGTGAGACAGTGTCTTGTAAGGCCAAAAAAATAATTATCTTGTTTCTTGCTTCCAGCCTGAAATAAAATTGGGTAGGTAGGCAGGAAAATTATTTTATTTTTTAATTTCTTTTTATTTTCGATATGAACTAATACAAAACCAAATTAAACATGTCATAGACCAATATTTTCATTACAAATTAAATTTTGTCTTTTGATGCATGACTCAAGTAGTATGTTATGAAAGTCCATATTTAAAACATATACTCGGTAGTATCATAAAATACTACGAAAGACGAATAGGGCCACATAAAAAAATATTTTTATCTCGTAATTACGAGAAAAGATCTCGATATAACAAGAAAAGATCTCGTTATTACGAGTTAATTATCTCGTTGTTACGAGAAAATATCTCATAATTACGAGATAAAAATATTTTTTTATGTGGCCCTATTCGTCTTTTGTAAAATACCACTTGAATATACATTATTTTTTTTCAGTTTTAGAACATGGAACATGAAATTACAGAAATTCAAGATTTTTTCCAAACCTAAAAAACTGTAGGGTCAGGTGCGAAAAATTAAGGTTGGGTAACAGGAAACAAGACTATAATTTTTTGGGGCCTGAGTACAGCTGTCTCTCCCTCGGGGCTGAGATATCTCTGTCTCGGCCCATTGTCATGGTGCTGTCTAGCCCTCAAATGTCAAATCATTATTTCTGTTTATTTGTGTGAATTAAGAGTAAAATTCATATTTAAGTAAGAGATTCTATATCAAAAATTTGTCTAGATATGAACACAGATATTGCGAATTCACAGATATAGCGAGGTAACCTTGGATCCCCAGCTATGTAAATTAATGAATTCCTTATACGGATAAAACAAATTATGGTTATTGCAAAGTATTTTCATAGGTCCCATTGACTTTTCTTTAACAGAGTTTTACTATATAAGGTTAACATTTCGACTTTCTACAAGACCTTTCTGAGAACTTCAAACAACCTTAAAGGACATTGAGAAGTTATAAACATTTTCATGATAAAATAAAAACTGTTGCATGAAGAGATTTAATTTTTCAAGATTCATTTTGAGATTCTGAATTACCGCGGTAAATTATAAATTAAAGAGTTATCCTTCTTGGCTGAGAATCCAAGTACCTTAACAGATTTTTAATAAGTCTTGTAAAATTATAAATGCTTGGACCATAAAACAGCTTTATATTATAGGATAAACCAGTTTGTTTGCACTGTTTTCATCGTTTTATTAAGTAAAATTTAACAATATTTTAAAAGATAAATGAATTGTTTGTCCTATATTTAAGGATAGTAGAACAAAATAAGAAGAATAATTGTCAAGTGCCCACTGATGCTGGAGTCCATGCTGTAGAAAAGACATGAAACAGAAGTGAGAAAATGTCGACATCAGTCATCTATGAAGATGGAGATTGCCTAGAGCTATTCTAAAATTTCCGAGGAAAATGGTGTTGTCTGCCTCATCCAATGATCACTCCATTTGCAGACTACCAGGTAATCTTTGATTTTGTCAATACTTTGTGCCTGAAAAAAAATTAATGATAAAACATTTTAAATCATCATAAAGATTTCAGTGCATAAAAAATACTTTTAAATTTGTGCAAAGTGAAATATAAAGATACAATAAAAATTCAGATTGTGCTCATCATATTAATATGAATTGTTTACTTATCAAAAATACATATACTTGGTCAATTCTCATTTTCAGGTCTCAATCTGAAGTATACATAGGAAGAGCAAAATCTTTCTCATTGACATATACAATGTAAACACTTACAACCTGTGATCCAGAAAAATGTCCTGATTGTTTAGTCCAACATAAGATGGATTTCAATTTGACACGTTATTCTGAAAAATTGAGTGAACAGTGCAGGCATGTCTTTGTTTCAATATCTCGACTCTGCATGGTCATCAAAACTTTGGACTCTTGTGATTTATTCATCCTATAAAAACATAATTTTGTAAGCAATAAAAGTATAATCAAATATTCTATGCTTCAGTTATAATTACATTTTTTTTATCAATATGTTTGTTTATTCTTTCAAATGGTGAGATAGTGCAGTATTACAGGTGCTTAGACACAGATTTGCAGTTAATATTTTCTCAAATTTTCTGTAAAATATCACAACTTATATAACAAGAGGCTCATGAGCCACATCACTTATAATTACATGAATAGCTTTGACGATGCAGTTTTTTACCAGATTTCCCCCTTGTTATACCTTTTGTGACCCAACCTAACCCCTGGGGTCATAATTTGAATTTAAAATCTACACTACCCCACAATGATTTTGCATAAGTTTCAGTTTTGCTTGCCTAGTACTGGTAATGCCAAAGAAGAAGATTTTTATAGATTTTTATGCGCCCGAATTTTTTCGGGGCGCATATTGTTTTTGTCCTGTCTGTTTGTCTGTTTATCTGTTTGTCTGTTGTCAACTTTAACCTTCGCCAAAACTTTTGTCATAAGAGTAACAAACTGTAAGAGATAGAGACTAGATAACTGTAAGAGATAGAGACTTCATATTTGGTATGCATACACCTCTAATAAAGTTCTTTCAAATGACATCAAGATCAATGACCTTGTGACCTTGACTGTGAACTATATACTAAAAATAGCTTTTTAGAACTTTGTTGACGCCGGGCGCATAGTGTTTCACAAACACATCTTGTTCTTGTATATTTCAATGTAAAAGTTGGGTTCCCTATTGTAGTCCCACCCTACCCCAAGGGTCATAATTTAAATAATTTAGAATCTACACTACCCCAGGATGCTTCTGCATAAGTTTCAACTTTTCTGGCCAGTGGTTCTTTGGAAGAGGATTACGAATGATGAGGGAAAAATGTAACATGTATTCACATCTGACAGGTGCTGAGCTTCAACAAATCATTCT